CCGCTTGGAACGGGTCGCGACGCTACCCTACCACTTGCATTTTTTCCAATTCCATTCCTTTTTCTCATCCCCACGACCCTTACGATCAAATTTACGACGACCCTCTATGTGTGTACTTATTTTCGTACTCTAGTTTTTGGTATTTGGAGGCGTGTACTTACAACTTCATCGTGTACACGGAATTGTTTATAATAATAAACTGAATACACGATTCTATAAGATACAGCACGAACACGACTTGCTGTACCATTATGGTGCCTAGTGTCAATGTCGCGACGCCAAGCGATACACGTTGCTAGTGATATTGTTCGATAACACGCTACATAAATGTACTTGGTCATTGTTAGGTTTAACGAGGCGTGTCTGATAATTAGCAATAGTCAGCCCATTGTACAGAGAGCGCAACGAAGCAAGGAAATCTGGTGAATCTGCGTAATAACAAAACGAGTGTAATTGGTGCAAACGTTTGTCAAGTCAGCGACACGCGCCGACCAGTCACGAATTGTGCAAGTCTGTGCAAACTTCCGATACGACATACTTCGTATTACGTTACTTTCATAAGGGAGTAATTGGCTTTGTAATGGCAACTGAAGAAATTATGCAATAGTTTTAGGAAACGGATCTTAAATGCATTTGTAAATTTCGAAATTATTCGAGAACCAGAGGCATATCTCCTGCCATTACACCGACGCGTCGTTTGCTACGAATCACGCGATGGAAATATTTGAACCATCCTCGTGTCCCTCGAAAAGTTAAGAATTGGAAAACAGCACACGGTTTAAAAATATTTTCAGAAATAATCGTGTGTCGTCGATCGGAAAACGCAGAGAGTTCAACGACCGAACTTGGAGAAAATAAAAGACTCGCTCTAACGAGCGTAGAAATGTACGCGCGGACCATCGATGGATACGAACGTGGCAAACAGCGTCTAAATGGATGGAAAAAAGATATCCAACGCATCACGCTCCATTCAGAAACGAGCTCCTGGTGGAAAACTAGTTTCACTGGGCATAAAAAAAAAAGGGTCCAGTGAAGTAATTGATGCCAAGATTAATCCCACCTCGGCCTCCTCTAGCCTTCCTCGAAGCACCATAATTAACCACTTAAGCGATTACGACGGATCCCGACGTAATATTTTGCACGTTCTCCCGGCCGGCGAGTGCAACGAATTCTGATCCCCACGCGTTATTTGCGCGTAATTGTACGTCACAGAAAGTGATTTTCGTGTCGTGTCGGGGCTGCTGCTCGTCGCTACCGTTCGGACAAGACAAATTACAATAATTTAACACTCCGCGGTTTCGTTTACGCCTTTATGAACCTGGCTATGAACAAACAACGTTTAAGACGATATACAGGGTGTTCGGTCACCCCTGGGAAAAATTTTATTGGGAGATTCTAGAGGCCAAAATAAGACGAAAATCAAGAATATCAATTTGTTGATTCAGGCTTCGTTGAAAAGTTATTAACAAAAATAAATTTTAAAATTTCAAATCACTCACGGAAAAATTATTTTCGATTGCGGGGGTCAATTACAATCATTTTTGGTGAACAGACATACCCTCGAAATCCTAACCATTCCCGAGAAAAAAATTCCTAATCGAAAATGTAATTTATGGCCAGAAATGTTGCTGGAAAATATCATACGAATCTTTAAAATGTCATAACTTCTGAACGGATTGAAGGATTTTAATGTGTTACTTCAAGAAAATGAGAAACACGTATGGGCTAGGATTACATGTACATATTTTCTTGCAGGCGGATGATGATCTCAGTGGTGTCATAATCGTGTAAAAGTGCGCAACTGTTTTCTTTAGGTACAACGATAGGGATCTCACACACCCAGATACAGTATAAAGAGTAGTCGTTTTTTCCAAGGTATATGTATTCAGTTTCTTTAAATTAATTTGCTGAAATATACAAGTACTTAAAACCAATTATTTCCGATCGATTCCTAGCCGAGTCGCGGATATTTTATTCACGAACAACGAATAAAATTTGTTCCGTGTACTCGTGTGTAAAGTAGCTTCTGCTTGCGGCTTCGTATACATATCGGTTTAAAAAACTAATTAATGGATTTTAATTTCCGAATGAATTTACGAGCAACACGTCGAGAGTCGGTTTACGAGAAAATCTAAAAGTTTCATTAGTTATTTATGAATGAAACTTGCGTAATTCTGTCAAGATTCTGCCGCTATACGAACATTAAATATTTTATGCATAGTAATTATGGGCGGAGATACATCTACCTTCAACCTATTACAATAGTTTTCTGGTAAAATTATTCAATGGTTGGCCAGAACCAATGGTAAAAACAGAGATAGCTAGACTCGACTAACAAATGGAAGATGTTGAACAACCGATAGACATTACACACAACAGGTGATCGAAAAATAACCGAATAGAAAGTTCTTCCGATCGAAAGCGACACTTGGTCGAGATTCTATAAAAGTGGTCGTTGCTTCGAGGCGTTGGACGACTCGTCAAAATCAAGCAAAAACGAAAGGTAACTGGTTAAAGTGTTTTGGCAACACAGTGACAGCGTGTTCGCCGGCACGACATCGATTTGTCAGTGACAAAGTCTGTTCGGGGAGGAACCCGTGCAGCCGAGAGATCCGGCGTGTTTCATTGTATACCGTCGGGTAACGAGTTACAATTTGTTTCAAACCTGTCGCGAGAATAACAGCGTTCCGTAAACTTCGGTCAATTTCCCTCGGCAAATTGAAATTAACTTTCCCCGCGGTTTCTCGCCGAAAACCCCTTTTCGCTCTTAACCACGTCGATTCGATTTTCCCCTCGGCGCGCGATTACTTTCCATTCTTCCAGTTACTTTTACTTGGTCGCACGATCAACTGAAAAATGCGACTGAGAAGAAAGAAACAAAGAGGAAGACAACAAGCACGCGCGCGACACTTGCACGTTTCTCGCTAGTTTCTATTTAATAACAAGTACATACATCTCTGTACGAGTTAATACGATAGCTGTTGTGTAACCTGCCGACGGGTTATGACCTTTTTAAAGAAAATTTTGCGACACCGTATCGATAATATCCCATTTGTTATTCATTATAAATTGACCCGAATTTAATTTAAAATATACCGCGATTATCAACAATTTTTCAGGCTATGTTCATAGTCTGAAAAAGTTGTGTTTTTCTCAACCTCGAGAAAACGGAGAGACAAATACAATACAAGTTTGGAACGTATCGCGAATGATATGTCGGATCGCGTTGTTTACGGTTGCTTCTGCGAATCCATTGCTGTCATACTTGTAAATTATTTACAATATACTTGGTGAACATTCAAACAGGACCGCAATCCGTAGATACGGTGTCACAGCCAAAATCGTACACCACATATAAAAAATAAGACAGACATTATTGTGAATATATCTGTATTTATTGTGTAATAATGACAAAAGAAATGAGTATTTAGTCTCACAGCTAAAATCGTAAAAGAAAGAAATTGTTGCGAAGAACTTTCAAAATGGGAAAAGCTATCGAGAAATTGCAAAAATTATTGGTAGAAGTATTAGAGAAGAAAGTAGAATTACAAATAAATTAAGAACAACACCGAACAAAAAATTTAATGCGTACGATGAACGATGAACAGTTGTTGAGTGCACCTAAATTGTCGAACGAGGTGGAAAAATATTTGCAAAAGTCTGTTAATCCGAAAATTGTAAGAAGAGTACTGAGAAAGAATGATTTTCATGGGCGTAAAGCAAGAAATAAACCATTTGTCAGCGATAAAAATAAGAAAAGGAGACTGAAGTTTACAAGACGGTATTTCACTAAGGATTTTAGTTTTTGGAAAGAAGTTATTTTTCCCGACGAAAGCAAATTTAATCTTTTTCATTCGGATGGTAAAGTTGAAACATATTTTCATATGTGGTGTACGATTTTGGCTGTGACTCACTGTAGGTTTCGTAGAATAAATTCTTCGAGATTCGATTTCTTTTTTAGAGTTAAACGAGCGTGTATATGCTGAATTTTGAAACACACAAAAAGAGAGAAACGACGAGATGCAGGGTGTAAAAAATGCTAGTCTAATTAGTGGCTAATTGTAAAAAATCGTTTTCTGTGTAATGCCAACGAACCGTAGAACAATGTAACGAATTCGGATCCAGTCCGTCGGTAGTGGAGAATGGAAAGAATTCAACGAACATGTATTTTCGTCCCAACGTTTGCGTAATTTCAATTACTCGATTCAATCACGGTAGAATAATTGCGTTCAACTATTCGCGATAAACGCACGTGTGTATTTAACGCGAGGAGATGATCCGAACGTGGGCCAGTGTTTTCAACGGGAGCGCGGCAACGAAATAATCAGAAACACGCGACCGAGTCGTTTTCAGCAATCCAATGCAACAAACTATAATACAATAGGTATAATCTCGTTCTTGATCGCTGCTGGAACGTGTATTGTTGATCGTGGCGCGAACAGAAACGTTAAAACGTACGATTTAGCCTGACGGGAGCTGTCTAAAATTATCATTAGAACATAAAAGCGATTTGCCATGAGTAGATTACGTTACCAGATCGTAAGATAACCACCTACAATGACGTTAATTTATATGAATCAGAGCTGCCCCCTACGACATGCATATAATACCATAACACGTTATCAGATTTCATAGCCGAGCAGCGATAAACGTCCGACGGAAGAATTACGTCCGACGACTCGCCAATCTTTACGTTATCAGTGTCGCGATCGAATATATAGAATCGGGCTATACGAAATGCTTATCCGGACGATAGCCTACGCGTAAAAAATAATCGTGTCGAATTAACCTCGAGCATCGATCCTTTGCGGGCAGTAATTTGAAATTTTATAAGACATAGAAATATCTCGTCATACGCGAGATTAGCACTAAGCCGAATCGTCTGCATCGCGATTAAGGCTGCCTATCGATTCGAACAAACTTCGTGACACTCGAGGCAAGAAAATATTCTTTGGTACGCGTGCAAGAGTGAAATAAATAAGAGGATGATGAAGGCTTACCGAAAACGGGGCTGAGATCCGATCTTGTCGACGTCTTGCCCGTCGTCGCGTAACTTCCACCGGCGAGCGAGACCTTTTCCTGCAACACACATGCACGCACTTAATGCCGACGTCCTTAGGCTGTCACGAACGAAGAGACGGATAAAAGAAGAAGAGACTGAGACGACGTTGCGTTGCACACGACGCGAGCAATTTGTAGAATTAGAGACGGTAACAAGGGGCTGTGTCGACGCACCTCAGATTCCGTGAGGTCGATGAGGGAACTTTTCTCCTCGGTGAGGTTCTCGGAGGACCTCTTCTCGTCCTCGCCCTCATCCTTGAAAACCTTGACCTCGTCCTCGCTGCCGAGATCGTCGCCGCCGCCGCTGCTGCTCACGTGCGGCATTATTGCTGGCCGAACGACGGCCACCGTTGTTCCTGTCTTTGTCGTCCACCGACTTAACGCGAGAGGTGTGTCCGCAGGACTGACGAGAGGTTAGGCGGCCGATCCGAGTACCGCGGCAATTTCAAAACTCGGTGTTCGCGTGCCGGCCGCGATTTATCCGCGTACGTCCAACGACGCACCAGCGGCAGCTTCAACGACCGATCCGTCGGATCCAATACTAGGTTAAAGAGACAACGCGCGCGCGTTACTTTTAAACGACGCCACCGACGGACACTCGCCCTTTTCTGTCTCACTGTTGTCGCACAGAACAGACAATACAATACGACGAAGCACAGAGAAACGGTTCACCGTCACCTTTGCCTCCGCACCACCGTCGCCACCGTCGTCGACGGAGGTTAGGCTACACACTTCCCGGAACGGGCACAAGAACGTTGCACCGACGAAATCGCGAAACGAAGAACAATTAAAACGCACCACCAGTCAAAACACGATATATATATATATATCTATATATGTATGTATGTATGTATATATATTTCGGTTTACGACGTTCTACAACAGAAATTTAAACGACGCATGGCAATGGGGCAAGGTTTAACGACCGACGCGCGTTTTCCTCGTTTATTAACTGAAACGTAATCTCACCGAAGATACGAGGACCGCGTGGGACGTCTGGCGTACAAGAAGAAGAGAAAGGAGGTGCGTTACAGGGGCTTAAAAACGAGAGGACAGAGGAGGTAACGGCGGAAGGAACGTGATGTAGTAGGTAGTGTGTAGTGGCGGACCGTGTGTGTCAAATAAGCACGCAGCAAATTTCCGGGGCGTCGTGCTTTCTCTTTCTGTTTCGTTTCTTATTGCGTGCACCAGGCACATAGTCCGCGCGCCACGTATCCGTACGATGGTGGCCACGATACTTTGGCGAGCGCACGATGCTGTTGCTGTGATTCCGTCTGCAGACGACTGCCAAGTACACGCGCGACGAGTACGGCACTACGACGACGGTGACGACGTTGTTGTTCTTGCTGTTGATGTTGACGGTGCACGCGCCGGACGGCCATCGTGCCCGTGATAAGGTCCCGAGGTGCGTGTTTCCGTATCTCACCCCGACTCCGATGGCTCGATGTACTCTGCCTGGATGCTCGGTACTGACTGCCGGCCACGGTGAGCTCGGGCGGGCGGCTCTCCCACGCGACGACCAATCACGACGCCGGATTCACTGCCGTGGCTTCCCTCGCCGACGCGCCACAGCGCCCCCACCCTCACCCCCCGCGAGGCCACGACCGGCCAGTCATGGCAGGCAAGGCGGCGAACCGACCCCACCCGAAACTGTGCGAGCTCACCCGAACTCCTAGCACCGTCTACGACGATACCGCGCCACTGCCGCTGCCGCGATCGCCACCACCGCATCGTTGTTGATGCCACCGTCGCGTCGCCCCGTTACTGACACCACCGTTCCTGCCACTGTCATTCCTGCACCGCTCTGCTCTTTTTGCCAAACTTCAACATCGTTTACCCTCCGCGAACGCTAACTTTCCTTCTCTCGATAACGACCATACTGATCATTTCTTATCCCTATCGCCTCCTTTAAACCCAACCCCCGACGCTGCCGTTATACTTATCATCGTCGCTATCATCTCCATCGATACTCCTATCGCGGGTGCTGCGTTATATACACTGGCGACCATTTACTTGCGTACAATTCTAAATGTTATTTTTACCGTAAAACAATTAATCTTACACACCTGGCTATTAATACTACTATCCTTAGTTGTAACACAAAATTCCTCGTTTTGTCTATAGCTGTTGGTTTTCGCTGTCGTATATGTACATTTTTCTACATCTCTATGAGGTTCAAGTCGGGAATTTGTAACGACCGTTTTAGTATATCGATACCAACATCCCTCGACGATCGATTAACCTAAGAGAAGAGAAAAGACTGTATCGTAGCCACTTTACATCTTGGGTGGCGAGTTTCCGTTCAATAGCGACGATGAACGATTTCGTACGAGGTGCAAATTCTCATACTATTTGTTACCTGGAAATCTTTGGAATCGAGAAAACTCGTTTGTGAATTTTTCTCTGGTTTCGTTGCGCGTTTCAAAGTCGACCCTATACATTATGTATCCTGTTAAAGCAACCTTTTTATTCGGCTCGGCGACGCCTCCTTTCTTCCTTTAGCGTGCACGTTGAATTCAACGAAACGATGCTGTTTGATACCGTTTTCGAAAAATAAAAAAATGCCGGGTCGCAAAACACTTGGTTGAGCACGTTACAACCGTTAAGGCAGGTGTGCGCGTGATTTCTTTATAGCCGCGGGTGAACGATAATTTATGATAATATATGCGCCCGCCACCGACCTATCCGATTTCCGTATTTAATTAAAATCTGGACAAAAACACGAGTACTCTTATTAGCTGGTAACAAAGCTGACTTTTGTGCCGTTTCCGGGGATCGGAACGAACAAAGCGGGCCGTGTGCGTGTTAATCGCGCGACCAGAAGATAATCACCTCGTATCAAAGTATCGTAATAAATTTAAGATCGACTCGATGACAAGTGGTCAAACCGCTATAACGTCCTATCCTATTGATACAATCCACGTGATCGTTCGCGATTACTTAGGCGCGCACATTACATCCATATTAATAACCTCAAATACCGGAATCGATACATCTAGCTTTGTTAGATTTCGCGTTAATTATTCTTTGAACAACGAACACGGTTCGCGTGCGCGTGTTCGTTCCTGAATTAACGTATTTCCAATTTATGTATCGTTTACAATAAATTTCGTCGCAAACTGCGATTATGCTGTAACATAAAACAGCCCGAATCTTTGGGTGCGTCGCACGAATCGGGTCCTCGTTACATTCTTGGAAAGTACTAATTATGGAGAGCCGAGCAAGGAGATCGAAACAGGTATAGAAAGTAAAATTGCAACGATTGGCACGCGTTAAACGATTGTAAATATCAAACGTGAAAGACACATCGAATTTAGTCGAAGAATTATACGTATCGATGACACAACGAAGGAAATTCCTAGTAATTGATAAGTTGCTCGCAACTTTCCGCAATCCTATTCGAGAATTCAAGTGCAATTCTGGAAGAATAAAGTCTTGCAGAGACATCTATGCAGAGATCCGTACCCGATGCAAAACTCATGGTGCTACGTCGGTAAAACACTATATCTTCGGTATCGACGTATGGCGCTACGTACAAACGCGTGCACGTATTCATGCAATTTTTATAATTGCATGTTCCTGTTTTTTAATTTGCACAATACGTATTACCATAACCTACTTAAGTCACAAAGTATACGTAAAATTCTTGATCCTACTCTACACATTTGTACTTTTTCTTCGACACGTTTGATTTCGCGTATTAAAGGACCTCGCAGACTTTGGTCTGGTCGCGCATGGATAATAAGATGTCCTTAATTGTAACAGCACTTGTTCCAACAGTGACGTTAATTCCGCGTTGTTGTTGTTGTTGTTGTTCTCGCAATCACCGCTCGTTATCGAACTAGAGAAAAAGGGCGCTTTATTTAAGGTGCACGAAGTTCGGATCGTTACGGCGGAATTATTAATTAAAATGCTCGTGGTTCGCCGCGTCGCGCCGCGCCGCGCCGTTACGGAACTTGTCCGTTTGTTCAATTTGTTCACCTTTCTGTGTCGCGCATGTTGCTCGAAGCCAGCAGGAACAACGACTCTTTCAGCTTCATCGGGATGCCGGGCGATGATTCATGAAAATAATGCTCGTGACAGCCAAACGTAATTTTTGTGGGAATGCCGCGTCTCGAGTCTAGTAGCGAACTTAACCGAGGATGTAGCCAATTGCTACGAAAGATTCGGTGTGACGTCAGCCTTTCCAAATGGCTGACGAATTCGGCTTGCTTGAGCAGTTGGCGAATGTGGCCCTGGATATATGTAATAATAATAATAATGAAGTTAATTTCAAGAAGGAATATAGATCACAACCCGAAAATGAATCAGCCGGCTGATCGTCGAAGCAGACCGTTGGATACGCGAGGAATAATATTGGCAAATCGTACCTCCTTCTCGAGGCCCTGGATGTCATTGACCGCGAGACCGATCATCAGGTTCATCAGGACGATACTAGCGAGCATGACGAAAGCGAGGAACACGAGCCTGCTCGTGGCTGGTAGGAAGGAACTCCCATTCTTCTCGTCAGAGAACAGGGCCCCGTACTCGTACTCACCCATCATCATTACCACGGTCTTCACGACGGCCCTCCAGGAATCGCGAAACTGGTCGTTCCCGTGGAACAAAACGGCGAAGCTCAACGCGAATCCGACAATCAGGCAGACGAACGCTAGGAGAACCTGAAAGGAAATAAAAAGCTCCGGATGCGCGTTGTTATAATCGCGAGGGTGGTGGGCTCGCGCGCAAGGGTAGGCAAGTGGGTCCTGGCGGGAGAGCCGTATCACCGAGGAGGAGACATTTAGAACCTTGGTCCTCCTCTCCGGCTTTTCATTTCTAACGATATTCGCCGAAGGGAAGGGCTCCGGCTCCGGCTCCGGCTTGGGCTCTCTTACCTTTCGTTCCGACTAAATACGGATCTTCCGTAACAGAGACGGAATTAAAAACCTCCCTCGGCATTAAATCAGGGTTAACGTTGTCCCTGTTCAGACTTGCCGTGAAAACGTTTTACGGCCTCGAATATGTCTGGCTTTTATTCGTGCGCGTTTCACCAGATTTACGTGCAGGAACAAGGAACATTTAGAATTTTGTTAACGGATGCACGCGCACGAATAAGAAACGAGCGTCTTTTTACCCGACGATTTATCCGACGATTTATCCGACTGACCTTGAGAATATTCTTCAATACCGTGGAGAACATGAGCGCGTAATATCCGTACATCGGTAGACGACCAACCAACAGCATCATTTGTATCCAGCCAAGCAAGATTGCCACGCTGATGGAATGCAACACCCATTGCGAGGGTTGCTGAAGAGCGTTTAATACCTTTCCCTTTTCCTGGATCACAATTCCTACCGCGTAACCGCTACTTACCGAAACCGCCAGCGATATCGTCGCGCATGCAAACGACAACCACGTCTCAAACTGTCTCAAATAATACCTGAAATCATCGACAATATACAGAAACGAATAAAAATATTCTGGTAACGTGTCTCGATCGAACCTTGGCACCATCAACACCTGGCCCATGTTGTGGAACAATAGGATGCACGAACAGAGAGTCAGAATCATTCTTAACGAGGTACGATCGGTCTCGTATTGCAACAAACTTATCGAGTATCCGGACAGGGAGAAGACGAACACAGCCTGGACGAGGACCAGACTCGAGAAGAATACTTTTAGCTTGGACCATTTTAACCAGAGGAAAGTTTCCACCAGTGGATGTTGCAGTATCGTTAATTGCTCCATGTCCGAAACTGCCGCGATGAGGGTCGCGACCACCCCCATTTGTAGTTCTCCTTTCGGCGCTAGCACGTCAAAGTCCACGGTGATCTTGGTTCGAAGAACATGAAACAAAGACAATGGAGAAAGTTACTAGCGTTAGAGATCTCGACAATTTGTTTGTTGTTATACTTGGTCCTTACGCATGAATTATTATCCGCAAAGTTGTTAATTCGCACTCGAGAATCCAAGATGCCCATTAAAAATAACACCGGTGCTTGTATGTGAGCGAAGATGGCGTCGATAACGGTGACACCGGTTTTCGTTTCTGCAGCTAGGTTACCACCCTGATCGATTAGCGCCCGAACGCATTCGCGGTGTCCTTGATAAGAGGCTCTGTGAAGCGGCGTCCGATTAATCTGTACGTGCAAGAAACAAACCGATCACCGAGACTAATTCTCAAATAAACAAACTGTAGGGAACAAGTGTACCACCTTGTCTCGAATGTCCACATGCTCGGGAGGTATCGCCGTTAGAAGAACCCTAAGAATCTTTAGGTTTCCAATGCTGGCAGCAATATGAACAGGGGTGCTTCCTGTGCTTTTGCATCGATAAAGGGGCCACGCGCCTCCATCCAACAATATTTTTGTTGCCAACAAACTCCCTAATACTACGGCGTGATGAAGCGACGTGGTGCCTTTGTTCGAGTAGGTTCAGATTTAATAAAAGTGTCGTGGTAGCAAACCGATAATAAAGTAAACGAATACGCATTATCGAAACCTGTATCGGGATGAATTACGTTTGTCGACGCCTTCGCGGCCACGAGGGTTTCAACAATTGCAACAAACTTGGACATCTCAGGTGCATCTTCCCCAGTCACGGTAGATCCTGCTAAGAGTAACGGCGTGATTCCGCGATCGTCTCGAACGTTCGCGTCTGCTCCGGCATTTATCAAAATCCCGACCACTTCGGAGTGATTGTTCTTTACCGCCTGGTGCAGAGCCGTTCTACCCCAACACTCCGGGATTGGCAACTAACGAAACGAAGCAATCGGTATTTTACAATAATCGTACAATACTAGAAAGCTTCGACCCGCGTTTCAACTAACGTTTCGGCCTATAAAACTCTGGTCGAAAGATAAACCGGTGAAATCCTTGAAGCAAGAATCGATGCCGACTCTGCTATCCGTGCATGCCCCGCGTTCCAGCAACCAATTCACCACTTGGCAATTTCCACGATGAGCGGCGTGAAACAACGCGGATCTTCCGATTTTGTCTGTCGCGTTTACGTCAGCACCGTTTTCGTACAGTAGGCTAAGCAAGTTTATTCTCCCGTGCCAAGCAGCCAGCTGAATCGCAGTCACTCGAACAACTCCGACAGGTTGGAGGAACTTGTTATCGAATTCTTCGGTAAGGATACGCGTCGCCGTGTCTTGGTCGTCGTTCTCAATGGCGGTGATCAGATTCTCACGATTTTCGATCATCTTTGCTTGAAAATTCTACGCAAAGTGTCGATGCTCACCATGCTGTACGCTCAAGTACTTGCTTCGAACTGGTTTGTTTAATTAACTGGGAGAGCATCGTTGCGTTCGAATGGAAATCACAGGATGTGGTCGACGAAGAAAGTAATTGTAGTTTAAAAGTCGATAATACGATGTATTTTTTAGTCCCAGGAAGTCCATCGTGGTGGATAGCTTTTGGCACGCGTGTTGTTCTCGATTCGTTTAGAAAGGATATCCGTTTTGATATCGGAAGTCGCAAAAACAAGAGTTGTTAGACTCAAGTTCTGGAAGTAACGAGTTCAAGTTGATAACTTTAAAAAGGATGTTCATCCTTAATTATGCCATAGAAACCTTGGAATTAAATGTTTCGCTTTAAAGTTTCAACATATTTTAACCATGATAGCAACGATCGTTGAAGAACTTTTATTATGTATTATGTTGTTGTTGTTATGTATCATTAGGTTTTTTTTAGAAATGACATTGGTTAACAGATAATTGCCTGTATCATTTGCAACGTTACAGATTAGATAACGTTAGCAGTTTGTTAGATATTTCGATACTCGAAGTTACCAAGAATAGTCCAAATATGCTTCACGTTCTCTGATCATTTTTAATGCCATTTTTCAAATATTCTTTTAAAATGTAAAGAAAACTACAATACAGTCTTACTTGACATACAATACTGTATACGTAAAATGTTCTTGTTATTTGTATTGGTGGAAAATGCCCTACGAAGCAGTTTGATCGTTTAACCGTGAAATACTGTACAAGTTCGGTATTAGGTAGATCTTTCTCGATCAACTTTCCTGGCAGCTTGATTGCCAATCGATCTAATTCAATGCTACGACGAGGTTCGCTCGTTTCTATGTGCGTACGGTAGCGATCCGTAGCACGATTGCATTCCAAGTGTACCAAAGTGGTCCGTTATTGACGTATAAAGCGGCATCCGGCCGATCTGAATACTCGGCGGGCACTTGGGTATGCGCGTTCGATAACGAATCTGTCAACAATGGATAACGGGACCGGTTAGCGGCGAGAATCGGAGGAGAACGATTCCGTGGAAGAAGTCTGCTCTCCGGTCGCGACCGTTACCAGTCGACAGCGCGATATGACGCGACGCATTATGTCGTAAATCGAGGCGAGGTGCACGCGCTCAAACACGCATACATCGAGATACAAGTTCCATGCTCGAGCGACCTTAACACGGGTTCTCGCGCGCGCGCGCTCTCTCTCTCTCTCTCTCCCTCGCACACACGTAAAGTCAGCGTTAACGCACGTACACACGTCCAATCAACCGGAGAGTATCGCGTTACCTTGCTGAACTCGGGGCCCAGTACGCGCTTGACCACGCTCCCGAGAGGATCTTCTTCGTCGCTCGAACAAACGCGTTCCCGTTCCAAAGAAGTGTCCGCGAGGCTCGAACATGCCTAACTGCCCAAAGTGCGAGAAGCCGGTGTATTTCGGTGAGCAAACCAAATCCGTCCTCGATTTCAATTATTTACACGGTTTACCAGCGATTCGACAAACCCGTAACTTTCCTCTCTACGTACGAGCTGATTTTTTACGTCGATCATGAACGATAAGACGCTGAGAGTTTGGACGAGATTTCGCGGACGTTAATTTCTCGTTAAATTTGAGTTTTGGTTTCGCGCATTATTTCCTAGTCCTCCGTTCTCGAATCGTTCCGCGATGTTCGTGAATTCAGTTTGTTTACGTAATTTTGTTTCCGCGTACTCGTCGCGAGATTAACAAAAAACGAACTCTAAGCTTCGCGTCCGTCTTGTTTCGCACCTGCGACGGTCGACGAAACTGCAGTCGGCCTTTGTCGCAGGAAATTTGTGTCGCGACCGTAAGTTCGTACTCCGTTGGAAAAGTTGCGAATGTCGAATGACGACACCGATGATATCATTGCGCGACCTCGCGGTCCACCTTAACGGTTATTATGTCAGCCTCGTCCCACTGTATACAAACAGAGCAACGCGGATGTCGCGCGACGCGAATCGTTGTGACGGAAATTTTACAGAAAATTCTAGGCCTCGTTCAGGACATTTCGATGTAAATGTTCGATCAAACTATCACGGCTGGTCGATTCGACGGAAAAAAACGCAACGAGAATCGCGGAGGATTGGTATCGATAACACCACTATTTGCGATAATTCCTAGATTTCTCGCTTACGATAATACTTTGGACCATGGCGGTTAATACAATCATCGCGATAGGCGATAATTCCTATACGATCGGTACAGAACACTCAGAATTAGCACCAGTATTACTTACGTACACTCATCAAGATACACTGGTGAACGAAATTATAGCACCCTCGTAATTACCGTCAAATTTTTCATTTAAACCAGAATAATAGAATTTCGCTTGGACAACATTGCAGGACACTATCTTTGAAAGTGAATAAAACGTATACAAGTAAATTTTAAGCGACAGTAGAGTGGGATTCTTGTAATTTAGTCTATCAATGCATACGGTATAGTTAAACGGTTTATAGAAAACAAATTTCCGCGAACGAACGATTCGTTAAATCTGTTGGTCGATTTCGCGTGTTACGAGTCGGTCGGCGAGTTCGTCGAGCATTCGGCAAACCGTCGCGATAAGTTTATCGGTGGCCAATTGCGCGTCGCGCTTCCCCTTCGGCTGTCAGATAAACGGAACCAGAAAAGCTGGAACGATAGCGCGTTCCCTTGGTCTCGCGCACGCGTTCAAGCTTCGTATTCAGGGAGGATCGCTTTTAATTGCGCGCTTCCTCTTTCGAGCGGCCTTTTAGACGGCCGTTAAAGCACTATTAACGCTGAAAGCGGATTTTTCTGAATGCGCTGCTTGCTCCTCTTGCTGCTGCCGCCGACTACGTATATGGGCTTTCAGATCGGCGCAAGTAGACGCGCGAGAAACGGATGCCACGGCGAGGGGCGAGGGGCGAGGGGCGAATCGGAGGGACGACGCTCTTTTTCTTGTATCGCGGAAAAAAGTTTGAAAGGGGAAGGTCATCGGCCTCTAAACTCGCTCCTCTTTAGGAGCGCGGTTCGCGTTTTAATCCGTCACCGGGCCCCAGCCGGTCTTCCGGTTTCAGTGCTCGCGCGAACAAACCCTGACCCTCCTCCCGAATTAGTCCCTGTCCCCGACTAGCACGGGAAACCTTGAAATCCGAAAGGCCTGCCGATCGTGTTACTTTTCCATTCCATTCTGGTTAATTACGATCCCTCGCGAGTACCGGTAAATGTAATTAAACCTCCAACAGATTCTTCGACGGACGCAAGATATGTACATAGGCCCGTAGCTTTCGAATGCCCTGGCAAAGTAACTTTTCAAGCTTCTACGGCAAAGACGAAACGAGAAAGCGCCCACGCGAAGAAAGTAGGTACTCGCGGCTTTAACCTTGCGTTTCCTTTGTTTTTGAACGAGTATTCCGCCGTGATTCCAACATGGAAGCTTTTTGAGCCGGTCGCGGCCGATCCCCGACCCTTTGAGAACCCAAGTCCGAAAAGGTTTGAAATAAACCACGGTTAAACGATTTCTTAACGTTCGGGGAAGAATCGCGTACTTGGTTCCCCATTATTCGCGTAAATTATTGCAAATGCTCGACGAGATCCGGTGAAAAGAGAGTCTACTCCTTCCGCGGAACGCGCGACTGATTTCGAACGGTTCTGCATTTTTTTCGCGACACAACGGCCGGGTGTATCTTGAATTCCTTCTCAATCTCATGGACCGCCGATTCGTCCTAAACGAGAAAGAGATTACGACTCGCGCGTAATGCGATTCTACGGACGAATTCTACCGTTGGATTTTCCATCGATTTCCACGCGACGATACCGGGTTTAACGAGCGTACGAATACCACCGTCGCTGTATCAACGTTATCGCGTTCGATGCGTCTACGCGGAGGTCTTCGAATTTCAAACGCTCCGCCGTCTCAACGATATCTCTGACCAGATTTTCGATACGCGGACGAATCGTTCGCGAGGAATCGTGCGACGGAATTCTGGCGGTCGCCGCTCGCGAAAAATCTCTCGTCGATCTTCCGAAACGTGCGCGCTGTTCGGCCGAGCACGGATCCAGGTGGCGGTGAACGCATCGAAAAAGAAAGAAGGAACAAAGGGGCGAATAGAAGTCGACGATACCGTATCGAGTCGCGTTCCGTCGAAAGCAACGACGATAAAGTGTCCGACGCTGCGCCGGGGACAGCAACAACGAGAGCCAGGGGCAGCAGGAGGGGGTCATAGGGGTAATAATAAGAAGAACTGGGAGGAAACAGGTTTAAGAAAGAATAGCCTGGTCGCGGTGGCGATCGAAAGCGCGGGAGAAGAACGCGAAGGCTCCAACAGGGAACCAACAGCCAGCTAGTCCCAGCTCTCTATCCGTTTCGACCCTATGGATCCCGTGTACCCCGTGTACCCCGTGTACCCCCCTCGATCCAGCACGGTTAGGATGCTGATGCTGATGCTGGAGCAGCGAGCCCACGAGAAGGAGCTTTCGCCGCGGGGTGGTCGGCGGGGGTGGAAAACGGTCTGTCGATGAAATAAAGGAAAAAAAGGTAGAAAAGGGAAGCGAGGAAAGAGCAGGGGATATGGTGTTCCAAGCCTATGCAATCAGCAGCCGCCGATTGTTTGGCGCCCGAGCGCAACGATCCGTACACACCGCTGTCTGCCTTTTCGCGCTACCACTGCACAGCACCGATTCTTGACGATTATGCACTCGCTTCTCCGCCGCCAGATAATTAGGAGTTAATTAACTAATGGCCCTTTATGCGTACCCTTCCTGCCTCCACCCTCTCTTTCCTTCCCGGCTCCATTCTCTGTTCCCGTTCCCGTTCCCGTTCCCGTTCCCTCTTTCGCCTCTCTTACTTTTTCCCTCGGTTCTTGCTTATTTCGCGGCTACGTTTCTTCTCTCCCTCCCACTCGCGTGTGTCCTCCACACCCTTCCACCACCCCTCCGGTCCCCTCTCAGCCATCGACTGTCGTCGACCCCTTTAAACCCCTCGTGTCTCTACGCTCCTCGTCATTTTCCAATTCCCCTCGCTGGCACCAGCGTCCTTTGTGCTCCTTCTTAGACGCGGAGGAACGTTTGAATGCCAACCACCGGCCCGCCACCGGTCGACCGTGCTCTTTTTGTCTTCTCCGCGAGGTTTGATACGCTGTAATGGCATAACGCACCGCGACGCATCGAAGGAAAGAAAGACCCGCTCGCGCTCCTCTGATTTCGTCGCTGCCTTTTGTCGACTTTCCGGCCAAGCGTGCGCGACGAACACGAGAACGCGAGTCCGCGGAAAATTCCACGGGGACGCGATATGCGATCCTTACAACCTCCAGATCTCCTTCGATGGCTCTCCTGGACGCGACCATTTATTATACGGCCCGTATTACGCGTACGATCTTACGATCAATCGATTTTAATGGGGTCTGACTCGAACCACCAGAACCGATAACAAACAATAGATCACCGCGCGTTCGACTATTTCTTAAAAGCAAAAAGGATTCAAAGTGGAAACGAGACGCTCGACGGGTTTGAAAGGTGCCCGCGAACGATACCGCGACGACCACGCGTGGGAATTACGAACGGCGTCGCGTCGCCTCGCGTCGGTGCGTTTTGTAAAGCGGCGTCGCGTCGCGTCGCGTCGGTCCGTTTTGTGTAGACGCGGTCTCGCGAACGGTCCGCGGGGTGTTTCGCGTTCGCGCCTCCGATGAATAAAACCCACCGATCGCGTCCGCCGGGAATCGGCCATTCAATTTTATAATTACGAAATTGCTAATGGAGGAGGCGGTGGAGTCGTTGTCTCCGTCTTGGTCGTCTGCGACGCGGCAACCATCGCGCGACGACGAGTCCCGGATGGGGATGTTGACGCATTTTGCTCGCCTCGGTGGCGGAAAAGGGCCAAAAAGATTTCCAAACGAATTCACCGAGCGCGTTGCGATTCTCTGTCGCGATCGATCCGGTCTCGTCCAACTCGTCTGCCCATTTTCAACCTCGTTAACTCGTTAAACGCCCTATGCGACACCCCTGGCTCATAGCTTTCAACAACTTTCGCAGAAATATCAAAATATTTAGAAATTTTCAATCATAACTGTGAACCCCGATCGAATATCGTCGCAACATACCGCGTTGAGAGAATATCTCAGCCGCGTCATAGGAATTTAATAAAAATTTCGATCTGTTTGTTTGTTGCAGCCGAAAGAAAAACCTCTTTAGGGAAGGACTGGCACAGCGCCTGTTTACGTTGCGAAAAGTGCAACAAAACTTTGACACCGGGTAGCCATGCGGAGCACGAGGGCAAACCGTATTGCAATCATCCCTGTTATTCCACCATGTTCGGCCCTGGAGGTAAGCAATAGCTTATTTCTCTCCGTAAACTGATCGATATCTCTCTATACACTGCAGATTAATACAAGAAAATACCATGCTTCTATTATTATTCTACATAACAGTTATTCCAAGGGAATGATTACGAATTTTTGTCCGCATTGCAGGTTTTGGACGAGGTGGTGCCGAGAGCTACGTTTACAAAAAATGAAAAACCGAGAATTCTGCGATATATATATACTTTATCGTTAATACGAATGTATTACCTATATCGTAGAAATTATATTTAGTCTAAGGATATACAGATCGCCTAAGCATAAACGTACAAAATAGAACTTGTTCGTAAATAGTACGAAAAGTATGTGCGTTCGATTGTACGATATAATTAAGATAATTCATTTTTTTACATGATTGTAAACTGCGTAATAAAACCGTTTGCTAGAGCGAAATAACGAACCGAGAATTTAATTTTTAACCTCTCCAGAGCAGATGTAGCTAATTCAGCTACTTCATCATTATGAACACTACCCTGACAGACAAACACAACAAAATAATCGCAACGCTAAAAATAACCGCGATCAAGTTAATATCATTTCCAATTTGCAACGCGATTAGTATTCATTTTTTGCAACGCTAATACCAAACCGTTATCAAATTTGTACTCGCGACACTACTCTGAAAACAAACGCGATAATAATCAGATCGCAACGCTAAAAGTAATCGCGATAAGTTTATAATATTCGCAACGCTATCTTGAAACTAAACGCGATTAATCGCATTTCGCAACGCAAATGCAAAACGCGATGCCAAAAAACACTGACCGGTGTGGTACAAGTACCATCTGAAAAACTACAAAATACTACAACTACAGACGAATACAGTGACAATAAATAATGATTCTCCATCCTCATCCGGAGATGAAGATGAAGAACCATTCGTTGCAGCCCACTCTTGCGACAGTTTGTCAGGGCCTCTTCGAGAGTCTCTTCTTTCTTCGGCGGCCCTGCCGATGCCTGAAACTTATGCCTGGGCTCGAGATTCCGTGCAATACGCAATCTTCCAACAATATACGAATTGTTGGAAGAGAATACGTGAAAAATCTCGAGCGGGTCGAGCGTTTCGGGGAACCTACTATGACCGCGACCGCGACCGCGACAAGGGACTGTATAGCAAGCGATTCCAAGAATCGAAAGTAACACCAAAACAAACGGTACGAATCGTTTGGATCGGCCAACTTTTCAACTCTCGAAATCGAACTACAGGTACAGGACTGCCACGCGAAAACGCGCCTACCCGAAAAAAGACTGTGGACAGTCCTGCCCTGACCCTTCCTACTTACGTTCAACACACACATACCAGAAAGTAAGCTACCTACCTACCTAAAGCTATATTTAAAAAATTTCAAAACGCATTCTCTCAACACACACACTCCACGATCCTCACGCATAATGTCCGGGCGCAAGAGCCTAAACTAGAGAGGATTCCCCGGGGTTCCTCCGACACCCGAAACATTGCAAACATTCACACGCTAAGGTACGTACCAATTTCCTGAAATCAACTGACAAAACCTAGTGGCCATTGCGTATTTATATTAAATATACATATTACGTTATTTTCATCTAGTAGAAGCTTTTATAAAATATGTTATTCTATAAATGATCGTAATCGATTTACATTCTGTGTTTAAGATCAAAAAGCTAAGTATCGTTTATGTTTCATTAAATATGTTGTACCATGATCATATTGTATGCAATAAATATGTAAATGATGAAATGAAATTGTTATTGTTAATTATAATAAACTTTTAAAACGACGCAATTCCACAGCCTAACCAAACACACACATGCGGAAATTGCGTCGCGCACGATACACTAACGCAATGTCAGTCGCACATAGATATTATTAGAAATTTTTATAAACTAAATCATCGTGCCCATCACCTTCGCTCACACAAGTAGCACCTGGGCACTTGAGTGAGTTTAGGCAACGAACACGGAAACGTTTCCTGAAAATCCTCAACTAGAAATAATGATTATAGTAAATACTAGCGTATTACGAAATAGTGTTCCTTTATTCTTTTTTATTTTATTTATTCTAATGGACTTTCTACTTGCGATGAATGAAGAACAAACGTTTAATATACATTAATAGTAAAAAATATTATTGGTAAAGAAAATTATCCTGATTAAAATTGTATATTCAACCCTCGGGCAATTCTGTCATCAAAGCATATTTTTTAATCATGAAAATAGTACATAATGCATGACTCAAGAATTTATCCGTCGCGAAATGTTTTCTTGTGCATGCATTGAAACATTATATTTTTTAATAGGTAAGGAAAGACTTTGGTATCTTAGATACAAAGTCATCAAATTATATTTAAATATGAGACATGTACAATATAAAAAGCAATCAATATTCAAAATTATATATTCAATAATCATTAGCACAGTGAATGTAATTAATTTAATAGAATAATCTGCCATAGTATGGAGCTTTCATTTGTCATATTAAAAATCGTGAAGCACAAGAAAACCCTATCCTAAACTACAAACATTCATACCCTTGGTCACTGTATTCGTCAAAGATAGCACGTATACAACTGGTCACCCGCGTCGATTCGGACCTTTTTGTTCTACGACGTGATTGGGGACCAGAGGAATCAAAATATCATGCGACTCACCGATTGTAGAATTCAAATACCCGGACGACGATGTTGGCTAGTAGGAGTCATCAGGGAAGTCATCAGGGAGGTCAGCAACGTAGACAGCAACGTAGTCAGCGGCGAAATCGTCCAAGAGGTTGTGTGAATCCGTCAGTAGGTACGTGGATTAAAAAACTTCTGCTAATATTGAAAATTTAATGTAGAAAACTTTGAAAGAAACAACTTTTTTCTAAAAGTACTCGGAACAAAGTACGAAGATACTTACATTTTTTGTTCGTGGGCATCGCCAAATGCTCCTCTTTAGTGACGAAGTGACTCTATTGTCGCGATTTAGAAAGAAAAGAGCCACAATGCTCTGAAAATAATTTACAACTACGCAAGAGACACTGACTCGACCTTCGCGTATACCTAAACTGTAAACGACACTCTCCTTGAAGCAATCTGCTTCGAAAAACAACCAACTATTCTATGAAACAAGCACTGATTCTACCGACCGCATTGCACGCGGTCATCAGAATTTCTGGAAAAAAATCTGAAATTAAGAATAAAAAGTAATTAAGTAATCGCTCAGACCTGTCTATTTATCGATTTAGTATTAAATTTCATCGATAAAAAGACAAAAATATGTAAATATATATAGGTGCATACTCACTTTTTATAATGAAGTTGATTTTACCTATATTGAATTTCCACTTTCGATTCCCGAGCATAATGGCGTCCATGGCATGCCGGTAGCGTCCCCCCTTCCAGTCGAATTGCAGCAAAGTCTGTAACAGAAATGAAACAAAAATTACGGTCCAATGCGTTAAAATAAATGTATCTGTACCTTAATTAAACATCGACTGAACCTGAAATATGGTCTATGAATTGGTAATTACGTTCAGAAATATCATAACTGATGGCAAGGGTTATGTATGGAAGGGGACGCGCAAGAAAGGTTGGAAATATTTCGCGATTCCGTATGATTTTATAATAGAAACGTGTTAATATTACAGGAAAGCACCAACAGAAAGTACTAGGAACGATTCGGAACATTAAGATGGCAATAATTAAAAGTACAAACCTAATTATACGCGAAGCGTGTCACCGTACCTCATCACACCAGTTTCCAGACGGGGAATGAGGAGCAGGTCCGGACGCGTTTACTGCGCGAATTAGTTGATAGGGGGCGGGCGGGGTGAGGTTGTCTCGTCACGTAGTCCCGTCCCGCTTGGCGATGTATATCTTCGAAAGAAAAGTTAAACCTTATATCTCGAATAAGTGAAAATAAATAATGTAAATAAAGAAAATAAATTAAATAAATACAGAAAGATACCAGACAAACAATTAATTAATGTTTTATTATCTTTATACTCTTGTGACGTCACGATGCGCAGCAGCCAATCAGTGGCGCTGTTTGAAAATCAAATACATCGATCTGCTAATCGACACGAAAATAACTAGATCGATTCAAATATATTGTCACTGTAGTCATACAATGTGTAAATATTAATTTTTATTCTAAATTTCAATCAGTTATTCATATTAACGGTCCATTTGTGTGTAGTATGTTTTCTGAAGTTATTTGTTTTAATTCTCACTAGATTCACATAAAAATCTGTCTTGATCCTGTGTCGATAATACTAGGTTTGACGCACTAATGGTAAGAGGGCTGTATTACAGGCATAAACGAAGTATTGAATAGAGGTCACAAGCAGTATTTTTTCGTGAATACCGATGAAGAGCACAGACGTGTAAGACACAGTTTTCCGTGCCACGCGACCAAGGGATATATAATCCCAGCTCCAAGGTGAAGTCGAGAGTCCGCTGGCCTAAGATATAGACAGGACTCACCGAATTCTCAAAACACAAGTATATCGGATTACATCGCCAAGCGGGACGGGACTACGTGACGAGACAACCTCACCCCGCCCGCCCCCTATCAACTAATTCGCGCAGTAAACGTGTCCGGACCTGCTCCTCATTCCTCGTCTGGAAACTGGTGTGATGAGGTACGGTGACACGCTTCGCGTATAATTAGGTTTGTACTTTTTAATTATTGTCATCTTAATGTTCCGAATCGTTCCTAGTACTTTCTGTTGGTGCTTTCCTGTAATATTAACACGTTTCTATTAGAAAATCATACGGAATCGCGAAATATTTCCAACCTCTCTCGCCCCTCTAATCCTTGTCATCGGTTATGATATTTCTGAACGTAATTATCGATTCATAGACCATATTTTGGGTTCAGTCGATGTTTAATTAAGGTACAGATACATTTATTTTAACGCATTGGACCGTAATTTTTGTTTCATTTCTGTTACAGACTTTGCTGCAATTCGACTGGAAGGGGGGACGCTACCGGCATGCCATGGACGCCATTATGCTCGGGAATCGAAAGTGGAAATTCAATATAGGTAAAATCAACTTCATTATAAAAAGTGAGTATGCACCTATATATATTTACATATTTTTGTCTTTTTATCGATGAAATTTAATACTAAATCGATAAATAGACAGGTCTGAGCGATTACTTAATTACTTTTTATTCTTAATTTCAGATTTTTTTCCAGAAATTCTGATGACCGCGTGCAATGCGGTCGGTAGAATCAGTGCTTGTTTCATAGAATAGTTGGTTGTTTTTCGAAGCAGATTGCTTCAAGGAGAGTGTCGTTTACAGTTTAGGTATACGCGAAGGTCGAGTCAGTGTCTCTTGCGTAGTTGTAAATTATTTTCAGAGCATTGTGGCTCTTTTCTTTCTAAATCGCGACAATAGAGTCACTTCGTCACTAAAGAGGAGCATTTGGCG